CATGAAGAGATTACCCTAATCCAGCCAATGAACATATCCGTCACCTCACACGTCTCTTCCTTCCTTCCTTCCTTCCTTCCTTCCTTCCTTCCTTCCTTCCTTCCTTCCTTTCTCTCTCTCTTTTTCTTTCTTTCTTCTTTTGTCAGACATTCAAATACCACTACCCTACCCTATTTCAACCATACAACAGTGTTAAGTATAGTCACCATGTTTTACGTTATATCCTTGGACCTTATTCATAGGAATAAGCCAAAAGTTTGCACCCCACCCCACAGCTCTTGACAACCACTTTTTTACTCTGTTTCTGTGAGTTTTACTTTTTATTTTTTTAGATTCTACATATAAGTGATACCACACAGTATTTGTTATTTTTCTGTCTGCCTTATTTCACTTAGCATATTGCCCTCAAATTTCATCCATGTTGTTGCAAATGGCAGGATTTCCTTCTTTCTTATGGCTGAATAATAGTCCACTGTATATGCATAACACCTCTTCTTTATCCATTCATCCATTGGTGGACACTTTTTCCATATTGTGGCTATTCTGAATAATGCTACAATGAACATAGGAGTGCAGATATCCCTCTGAGATCTTGTTTTCATTTCCTTTGGATATATACCCAGAAGTGGGATTGCTGGATTATATGGTGATTCCATTTTTAATTTTTTGATGAACCTCTATACTGTTTTCTATAGTGGCCGCAGGAGTTCACGTTCCCACCAACAGTGCACAGGGGTTCCCCTTCCTCCACATCCTTGCCAACACTTGTTATCCCTTGGCACTTCGGTGCTGCTCTTTCTCTATCATCATCTCTCTCTAAACTACAGGATTTGGCTGGAGGAGTGAAAGAAGAGAGCTAGGCTGTGTCAGGTGAGGATTGAACAGCCCTAATAATTGGCTTTGCCATCCAATTCCACCCAGTATTGAATGGAAGAGTAACCAAGGAGAACAAACTTTTGTTTATGTTTGATCTGGACACCAGATATTCTAAAATTGATATCCCCTAACTTGGCAGAATTAATGCCCCTAGACCATGATATTAGGAGCTATGCTTATTACTGTTAATATGGTTCTTTGAATTCTTGGAGAACATTAAACAGTGTTTTCTTACAGAATTTGGTTTTCAACAATAAGGATTTTCACCCCCAAACTAAACACTAATTAAAAAACAAGATTTAATTTGTTCAAGGACATTTTTCCTTTGAATTTTTCCCTTTAGAGAATTACACATTATATAAGATGAATGGAAAACAATGATCTTAGACCTTTCATTAAAAGCAAACTGATTTTCCAATTCCTTTCATCTGAAGATGGCTGGAGGTATAGACATTGAGCCAGTATAAAAATCTGGGATATCTCTTTGAATGGTACTAGTACTTGTGAGGAAGGGGAAAATCTAGCAACTTGATTCATCCTTTCATATGTAATGAATGATTTTCAGATATCTGGAACTCATTTCTTACGGAAATAATATGAGTGATGATGACTAGTGTCTCAGTCACCCTACTAGAAGCTGACAAATATATTTGTCCATGTACTGCTGGTGTCCCTTTAGGGTAATCCATTCTTTTTGTTCCTTTTCTTCTCAAAAAATATTTTAACTACTTTTGGACTCATGCGGGATTTACAGGCTAAGTACCTACCCACTACTTTTATTGGGGACACAAGTAGGGAGCTCTGCTAATGTTTGGGTCATGGCCTATAATAAGAAGAGAACTTGGCAAGTCATGGAAAACATCAATTTTTAGGTATATGCAGCACTCGAATATGGCTACTCTAATCAGTTTCTGGAATCTGAGGGCCTACTGACTATCTACCATCTTCAAAACCAACGCATAATCAGCACCATCAGCAGCAGCAGCAAAGGCAAAATTACCATCATTATCATCTATATCAGAAATTTGCAGCTTTATTAACAAGAATTTTAGGACTGATAAATTTTAGTTCCAAACCCTTATTTTCTTTCCACCAAAAATGAAATTAATCTCCACAAATAGCCAAAGCAATCCTGAGAAAGAAGAACAAAGCTGAAGGTATCACACTTCCTGGTTTCAAACTATATTACTAAGCTATATAATCAAAACAGTCTGGAATTGGCATAAAAATAGACACACAGACCAATGGAACAGAATCGAGAGCCCAGAAATAAATCCTCATATTTACAGTGAACCAACATGTGACAAGGAGTCAAGATACTCAGTGAGGAAAGGATAACTTCTTCAATAAATGGCGCTGGGAAAACTTGATAAACACATGCAGAAGAATAAAACTGGACCCCTATCTCATACTCCTCACAAAAGTTAACTCAAAATGGATTAAAGACTTAAACATAAGACCCCAAACTGTAAAGCTCTTAGAAGAAAACATAGGCAAATACTCCTTAACATTGGTCTTGGCAACACTTTTTAATGTGACACCAAAAGCAAGTAATACTTTCATGTTATCTCTAATAAAGAACACTTTTGTAAAGTAAAAGGTTATCCTTTAATTTTTCTTTTACACGAAGCTGAATTTTTATACACTGAGTTCTAGAAAGACCATAGAATCATTGTTCAAAGGCCTTGCTTGCTCTCTTCTCCCAAACTCAGAACTCAATCTTCATTGCCTAAAATGTACCCAAATTACCTTACTTTTCCCCACTGAAAACTTATCCCTCCTTCTCTGTTCCCCATCCCCATCAGTGGTATCACAGCCTACCTTTACCTAGTTTACTCTAGCAGAGGTATCTTCTATACTTTTCTCTCTCTTGTCCTCAAAGTCTGATTAATTAAATAATCCAGTTAGGTTTACACTCTCTGCCTTCAAAGTGTTGCCATAGTAAGTTTCTCAATGGGCAGAAATGACCATGCTGCTCTCCAGTTTCAAAGATTCCTATTTTCTCTAAGATAAACTCTAAAATCTTTGGCGTGGCATGACCAACTATTTTTAACACAGCTCAAGCTATCTAGACATTTCACTTAGCATAAATCATCCCTAGCACCTGCAGTGGAGATGTTTCCTGAAAAAGCCCTGCTCTCTACATATTTGGGTCTTTGAATTCATTACTTTTTCTAATGAGACTACCTCTTATCTTTTCACTCATTAATTAATTAATTAAGATAGACATCTACTGAATACCTACCCTGTGCTAGGCAATGAAGCGTGCCAGGGGATTAGATGGTGAACAAAGTAGACGTGGTCCCTGCAGGCATGGAGTCTGCACTCTGCTGGTTGAACCTGCTGTCTCCTCCCGGACTCAGATCTCTTTCACTCACAGCCCGCTCCTGCAATACGTCCTTATTGACCTAGTTGCTCCACCTTTGGAAGACTGAGCCCTTGTGCCTACTTTTGTTGTAGGATTTATGTCACACATTTTTTTTTTTTAAAGTCCATCTTCCCCACTAGACTCTGATCTGCTTACAGTAAGGAGCAGGTCTTTTCGACAGTGGACCTTCCTATAATGCCAAGGACAGCGTTAGATGTCAAATTGATTTGAAGGGGCTTGACCCAAAATTTAAGCATCATGCCAGAAAACTGGATTTCTAAATGTGACCATGAGAAAGTTACTGAGTGCAAGTATATTCTTTCTGTTTATGCTTGCCAATTTTTATAAGTTTTAAAGCTCATTTTTAATGTATTCTTCTGTAAATACCTCATATGCTGCTGATTTTGTTTTAAAAGAATTACTTCTATTCCTAAAGATGATAATGTTTTCAGCAATATATATTCAATTCAATATATTCAATGTTTAAAACCCTGTAGCTAATGGCTTAACACTTATGTTTGTTATTTGTCTTCTCTTTACAGAGAAATCACTCTTTCCTTGAAGATTTCTGTAAATAACAAGAGGGTTTTCTTTCTCCTACTGAGTTTCATGTAAATGCATTGTAGCCTGAGGAAGGAACATATGCCCCACGCTCCTATTCCTAATGCTATGGTTACCGGAAAACTATTTCTATGTAGGATTATTTTTCAGTGGTCTCAAGATCTATTGCTCCCAGTACAACTTAGTATAGAGTTTTTATATTGATTTATTCTGGCGAAATGAATTCTATGCGATAGTTTACAAAAGTCTCCTTCCTCCCTTTAATTGTAAGAATGACTACAACAACTCCTCCATCTGTATTTGACAGTAGCAATTCAAATATTCTGCACTGAATTTTTTAGTGGGAATACTGACGATAACTGGATTGTAATTACATGAATAAGAGTTGCTCTAAGTTTATAACCTGAAAGAAATGAGAATAGTCCTAATGAAAATCAGGCTATCAGGCCAATAAGATTTTAATAATAAAACAAAAGAATATTCTGAGACTGGAATTATATTTCTTTAAACTACATATGCTAGGGCGCCTGGGTGGCTCAGTTGGTTAAGCGACTGCCTTCGGCTCAGGTCATGATCCTGGAGTCCCGGGACCGAGTCCCACATCGGGCTCCCTGCTCAGCAGGGAGTCTGCTTCTCCCTCTGACCCTCTTCCCTCTCATGCTCTCTATCTCTCATTCTCTCTCTCTCAAATAAATAAATAAAATCTTTAAAAAAAAATAAAAAAAATAAACTACATATGCTAACTCTCATCACCATGAACTCAGAAAAAGAAGAAAATAATGATGCTAATTTTCAAAGCCTAAAAAGTTTTCTATCAGAATGTTGATTTTAGTCTATGTCTATCTATGAGGGCTTATCAAACCATTACACTGTGCTTTGACTTAGGTAAGCAAAGTAATTTATAGACAAGGAAGGAAGTAACAAATTTTAAAATGCATACATCTCAGGGCGCCTGGGTAGCTTGGTCGGTTAAGCATCACACTCTTGATTTCAGCTCAGGTCATGATCTGAGGGTCATGAGATTGAGCCCCACGACAGGCTCCACACTGAGCTTGGATCCTGCTTAGGATTCTCTCGCTCCCTCTGCCCCTCCCCCTCCCTCTCTAAAAATAAAAAATAAAATGCATACATCTCTAACTGTAACTCTAATATAATTTCATGTATAATTATTTAGAAAGAATCACATTTAATATACCTTTTCCAGCTCCGTCTTGCTTGAAATTTTTCCTGCATCATTACTGTATCTGAAATATAAATTGACTCAGTTTATAATTTTATTAAAATGTAATTTAGAAAATCCTAATCAAAATGTCAATATTCTTTACCCTGGAACTGGTATTGTTTTCTCTTTCCTCTCATTTGTTTCAACACCTTCTGCAAAACATTAAATAAAAGAAAAATAATTTAAAGTGTTATCTGTCTGTGTGTGTGTGTGTGTGTGTGTGTTAAGATGGAAGCATTACTAGAAACTGAAAACAAATTCACCTGTACTGACATAACATTCATCTTAATAAAGTATTTTATAAATACAAATATCACCCCAACGTTTCCACTCCATCAGGGCAATTTATCAGAGCCAGAAATAACCACAGCCAAGTGTAATGCTCTTTCCAAATAGAATGTAGGAATTAGAGATTCCCACTATTGTGCAAGAATGTCAATTCAGTATGAAAGAGTAACCTGGGGTCTACTGAGAGAGAGAGAGAGAATTCCATCAGACTGGCTAGAGGCTAGAAAGGGCATTCTTCCTCTTTTTCCAGAGAATGTAGATTCAACCACTAATTGAAGGTAAAATATTTGGGTAATGTATACTACTGGGAAATACAGCAAGAAGAAAGTTAAATTCACATCATGCACGTATGGACAGTTAATAAAATATAAGCCAGAATTCTTGAGATTCTGCCAACTGCCCAAATGATTAGACCCCACTGCAGCTGTATCAACATGTGATACCATCAGTTTCCAGTCCATGGTTGATTGATCCACTGAAATGAGTCATCTGAGTGGCCTCGACCTCTGCTTCGGCGCTGATGATCTGCTGTGCCACGGCCTCCACGATGGGCATCACCATGGCAGCCGTGGAGGTGTTGCTAAGCCACATCGATAAAAAGGCAGTACTGCTCATGAACCCCAATGTCAGCCTGAAACGAGAGGGTCTTTTGGATGAGCTGCGCTCTCTGGCTTAACTAACTCTGAATTGTTTAACTGTAAAGAATGCTGTTTGTAAGTTGGGAATTTTTTCAAAACACACTTAAGTTAGGGTTCCCCTCCGATGGCAAACCCTGAAGACAGTCATGGCCAGATAGGAATCAGAACGGCACATGGAAGAGTGGTGTTCTTATGAGATTTGTCTCCCTGGAACCATAAACGTCTTCTCTTAAAACAGAACAGCTTATAATATTATACCAATATTTGAATGCCCTTTACAGATGACACTTACCTTGAAATACCAGTAAGATGAAATGCAATCAAAAAAAAAAAAAAAGAAATGCAATCAGTTTTTCAATTTAGGATCCCTTACTCTTTCTTTTGTCTTTTGGTCACATCTCTGTTTATTAGTATGTGTGCCAAGGAGGCACGAGGGCAAGGAGAGAAATTAGTATTTATAAATCTACTTTTTACTGTTGACTACTCTGGTTCAATATATGGTAGGTGGAGGAAATGGTTAAAATTACTAGCTAAAATGAGGTTTCAGAATTTTCTGTAGATTCTATTATTTATGCTTTCCTGAGTTTGACATTCCTGCCTGTGGTCGAGAACTGGATATATTACATTGTCCCCTCTTATAAATAAAGTAGTTCTTCTCCCTTAAAGATAACACACCTAAGACTGTAGGATTTTAAATCATATCTAGAAGCTATCAAAATCACACTTGGGGAAGAAATATGATCTCTTTTGAGTAGGAGATCCCAGAAAATCATTCAGAAGCACATCTTTCCATATGGAGCCATTTATGAAATTCTATGACTCTCTTTAAAAGTAAATCTACAAGACAAATTCTTCAGTTTCAAATTCAGATTGGGTGAATAATTTCTACATGTAAAACAATAAAACTCTTTAGATATCTTCAGGGTCCTGGGATCGAGTCCTGCATCAGGCTCCCTGCTCGGCAGGAAGCCTGCTTCTCCCTCTCCCACTCCCCCTGCTTGTGTTCCTGTTCTCGTTGTCTCTGTCTCTGTCAAATGAATAAATAAAATCTTAAAAAAGAAAAAATCATTCTCAATAAAAAGTAAACTAGAAATACTTTTCATTTAAGGCATTGGCAAGACATGAAATCTTCCTATAAAAAAAGATAGTGAGCAGATAAACCTTCTGTGTGGTGAAAAGGCCTTAAATTGCAAAGCTACTTGGTGGTATAAAGGACAGGACTCTTGCTACACCACGTGGTTCACTACCCCATCCCCTGTGGTCAGTGAGCAGATGGTCAAGGAAAAGATACACATATCTATAGCACCACAAGAGGCATGAAGAGTGAAATTCCCTTAATACATACATGTTATAAACATTTTAAGTAACAAATATTTTAAAAATTTGTCTCATCTGAGTTATTTTTTGTGTTTAACAAACCTATTTGATTCATAAATCATAAACACAGATGTGGATATACTCTAGAATGAATCATGCAACATAATTCAATAAAATTTTCTTATTTTCAAAGAAAAATGAGAAGGGAAGAACCACCTAAGACTTTAGAGCTTAATGCTATCATATAAGTGTTTATGACACTGGAAATATTCTTTTTTTAGCTCACATCTATGTTCTTTTTTTTTTTTAAGATTTTATTTATTTATTTGACAGAGAGAGACACAGCGAGAGAGGGAACACAAGCAGGGGGCATGGGAGAAGGAGAAGCAGGCTTCCCGCAGAACAGGGAGCCCCATGCGGAACTCGGTCCTGAGTCGACGGCAGACGCTTAACGACTGAGCCACCCAGGTGCCCCTCACAACTATGTCCTTAACAAGAGCTAGAATTAAAACTAAAATAGCCAATTAATTTAATGGAAAAAAGCATTTATTTCAGTGGGGAAAATCAGTCAACTGAGTGATTTCACATTCCATAGATGAAATTTCTTAATTGATTGTTTCACTTTGCAACAGTTCATTTAAAAAGAAAAACGTTGGGGCACCTGGGTGGCTCAGTCATTAAGCATCTGCCTTTGGGTCAGGTCATGTTCCCAGGGTCCTGGGATCGAGCCCTGCATTGAGCCCCACATCAGGCTCCCTGCTTGGCAGGAAGCCGGCTTCTCCCTCTCCCACTCCCCCTGCTTGTGTTCCCTCTCTCACTGTGTCTCTCTCTGTCAAATAAATAAACAAAATCTTTTTTAAAAAAATAAATAAATAAAAAGAAAAATGTTCACCTTGGAATGTTTCTACACATGTTTGTATTTTGTTGGTAATGTCTTTGTCTTTGGTTCTTAACATCCTCCCTATGATCAAGGATGCTCTTGAACAAGTCTTGAATGTGTGATCAGCCAAATAAACAAGATAGAACTGAAATCTACTCTGAAGTTTATCAGTCTTGTCTGTTGGGGTTCAAGGCTTCTCTCAGCTTTGGCTCCCACTGTGCATGAAAGGTAGGAGGGTTGTGTGCACTTATTCCAATCTCCCTGTAATTAGACCTGAAAGTTGTTGTTGTTTCTTCCTACAACTCCAGTATACTTTATATCCCTTTCATATTTGCAGAGGAAAGAAAGGCATGAATTATACTGTGATGAATGATTGCCTGGATGTGCATTACTTATTTAGTTATTTGCTCCGCACAAAAATGATCTGTTTGGAAAGTAAACCTGGAACAGGAAATGCAGTACTTACCATGCTGGGTTCACACCCACCGTCATCACCATTCTCAGAGCAATCCTTTTGTGCAAATTCCATTTTTCTATTGATGTTGCTAAACAGATGACTCCAATTAGCAGTAGATGAAAATCTTTGAAATAAGCAGATGCCACCTGAAATTTATGATTAAACCCAAGATTACTTATGTTGGTGGGGGAAAAATAATATTGCCCAAGAAAGCATTATTTTGCCACTCTTAACTTTGACCTTCAAATTACTTAATCTTTCTATTAAGAAAAATGTAGATATGTGACGATACAAATTTAACTATGTTCTATATGCTTACCCAGAAATAGGAGTGTTAAGGGAAAACACATACAAAAAAAGAGTACCCAAGATACTGGGTTTTGAAATAGCTATGTAACATTAGGCAAGTGCCTTCAATGCCTTAATTTTTCTATCTCCAAACTGGGGTTAACTGGTTTATGCTGCTATGGTAGAATGGCAGTGACTGTGATTTGGGAAAGTCCAAGTTGAGTCTCCAACCCACCAGTGTCTTCATTACCATCCATTATGCCCAAACTGTAGTGTCACTCCTAAATATTTTGAATGGTTTTACCTTCAAAATTATTTGCTATAAAATAAATACCCTTGAATAGGAGCCAACATCTTAAGCCATTTTTAGCTAACACCATTCAGAGATTAGTAGAGTATACAGACACTTTGGGTCAACCTATTTACCAGAGAATTCTCTTAAGTATGTTAGGCACATAATCTTTTTCTCAAACAACGACAACAAAAAGATTCTGTGGCCTAATTAGTTTAGAAAGCAGAGTTTTGAAATATTAGAATTTTCTTTCCTGTAAGTCTAACTCAAAACCTTTAAATATTAACATGCATTGCCACTCATAGAGTGGGATTCCAAACACAACATATTTTTCAAACTTATCTAACCACAGAAACCTTATTTTTAAATTTTTAGGTGTAGTGCTTCATGAGACTGATATTCAAGAGACCTGACTTTAGGACCTGCTTGGTTAAACTGAGTCATGAGGCTGTGCTGAGAGGAGAGGATTATAAGAGGAAATATCCCTTTAAAAAAAACAGTATCTGGTAGAAGGTATGGGAGAGTTGGAAAATTATGAAACCACAAAGGAATAGAAAAATCAGTTCTCATAATTTTGCTATTTTAAATTGTATGAGCATTTTTAATATAACTTACTAAGCTTGGCTCGGTTTAAAAAGAAAGTAAAAATTAGCCTTGGAATTAAAAGTGGACAAGTGAATTTCTTCATTATGTTTTATGTTGATTTATTATGTTTTTCACAGTTTGTATTTAACTCTTTACATTTTGTAGTAATTACATAATAGAAAATAATTCTATCAATTTCCTTATTATCTCATTTATTAATTACTCTAACATTGAATAAGTGTTTCCCACGCGCCAAAACTGTTATATGAACAGGGAATGCAATGATAAATGTCTGACATGTTTTTCCCTCTTCACACCTCTTCAATCCTCAAACATCTAGATTTCTTTCTCTTTCTTTTTTTAAGATTTTATTTATTTATTTGTCAGAGAGAGAGAGAGGGATATATATAGAGAGAGAGAGCACGAGCAGGCGGAGTTGCAGGCAGAGGGAGAAGCAGGCTTCCCGCTGAGCAGAGAGCGGGATGTGGGGCTCGATCCCAGGACCCTGGGATCAGGACCCGAGCCGAAGGCAGACGCTTAACGACTGAGCCACCCAGGCGCCCTCAAATATCCAGATTTTCTAAATAGTTTCTACTATTTTTTCTGTATTACAGAGCCCTGTTTGTTTCCTTCATAGCATATTATATTATGTCAATAGTGTTTACCTGCTTGTTGCATTCTTCTGTAATATACTACACATTCTAAGAGGACCAGGAATCTGTTTTGCTAGTCATTGCATATTTGGCACTTAGTACAGTCCTGGTACAGAACAGGAGCTCAGTAAATAATATTGCATGAATGAGAGAAGGAGGAAGAGAGTCAACGAATAAGCTACGGTCTCTGAGCTCCTAAATCAGTAGAGTGATCACAATCATGAATTGTTTACACTCTGTTCCCAAACTTTTTTTTTTTAAGATTTTATTTATTTATTTGACAGAGAGAGACACAGCGAGAGAGGGAACACAAGCAGGGGGAGCAGGGAGCCCGATGCGGGGTTCGATCCCAGGACCCTGGGATCATGACCTGAGCTGAAGGCAGACGTTTAATGAGCCACCCAGGCACCCCTGTTCCCAAACTTCTATCTTCCTAACTCTCTCAATCGTTACTCTCAGTATAAGTATTATTTCAAATTATTAATTTACTAGTGTTTACAGACTTACGAACGATTTTTTTTTCCTCCCTGGGTCTATCTCTGCCTCTCTGAATTTTTCTTCTTGGCCTACATTAAAAATTACTTTTGCTCTTCCCTTTTCTTAAATGTTGGTATCTACAGGGTTTTGTCTCCAATCTTCTTGTTTTGTACACCTGAAGATTGAATCTTACAGATTCAATTTCTAACTCTATGTGACTAAAATAATGTTCAGCACACAGTGGGCATTCAATACATATTTGTTGAATGAATGCTGAAGACACTAAAATCTTTGTATCGAAACAGTTAAGTCTGGTGTATCCAGCTGGACATTTCCATTTGAATTTCCCACAAACATCTAAAAATTCAGCATATCCCTTTTTGTGACAAATGAAACTTCCATCTACTTAGTTGCCCAAGTTAGAAGCCTAAGAGTCAGCTATGATTCCTTTTTCACTTCCAGTATGTGTGTGTTAGTCATGAAGTCCTATTATCTCTAGTTCCCCCATATATTTTATTTTATTTTATTTTATTTTAAAAGATTTTTTATTTATTTGTCAGAGAGAGACCGAGCACAAGCAGGGGGAGTGGCAGGTAGAGGGAGAAGCAGGCTCCCCTCTGAGCAAGGAGCCCGATGGGGGACTTGATCCCAGGACCCCGGGATCATGACCTGAGCCCAAGGCAGACACTAAACTGACTGAGCCACAAAGGCATGCCATTCCCCTATATATTTTAAATTGTCCACTTTGCTCTATTCAAACATTACTATCTTAATTAAGCTCCTTACTGCTTCTCAAATGGTTACTGTTTGATCTGTCTCTTTCTAATCCGCCCCTTACCGTTGTCACAGCGACTTTTCTGAAGTGTAAATCTAATCACATCATTCTGCTTCCTGTACTCTTCACTGGACTCCATGTCTTTTAAGACCAAATCCAATCTTCCCAACATGTCTTATAAGACTCTTCATCATTTAGCCCCATCTCACCTTTCCAGCTTAGACTTTCAGTGCTCTGCCAACTTCTCCCTACGTGTGAAATACTCCAGTCACAGAAATGCTTCAACACTTGCTGGTCATTTAACCTGGAATGACCCTCTTCTCTTACTTTGGTTATCCATAATCTTCCTTCATGGATGAACTAAGATGTCAATTCTTCCAAGATGCCTTCCTTGACTATCCTCAACTTGGTTGGATGTTACTTCCTTTTGTGGGAGCAGATCTTCATCTATATAGTGATCATTTATTTACTTAATTATCCCCATTATTAGATTATACATATTTTGAAGGCAGAGATATATTTTACTGACCACTGTATTTATGGATTTAGCACAAGCCTGTCACATATTGGCACTCAGTAGATACTGAATTAGTAAGTCCCCAGACTCAAGGAGCTTACAGGTTATTATATGTGAAAAACAAGTTAACAAAGACTGCAATAAGGTATCATAGGTGTGTGAGAAATATTTTTTCAAGTTATAGTTGAAGCTCAAAGAGTAATGACCACCTTTTACTAGGGGAATTGGGAAAGTTTTCTTACAGGACCTGATACTCAAGTTGATTACTGAAAAATGAATAGACATTTGAGTTTTCCTCTTCTTTTATCTCTTTTACAGTTTTGCTCATGAAAATAAGATCCACGTACCCTATTCCAATAGTCTGAGAATTCAGTGAAAAAATAAACGCAGGATTACTTTAAAAATACAAAGGAATGCATAGAAGCAAACCATTATTAGTAAGTGATTAACCATAGAAAGAAGTCCAGGACCATGAGATATTCTTGTTGTAATCTCTTTAGATTATGTCAGCAGTTGGCAGACTTTGTAAAAGGTCAGATATTAAATGTTTTAGACTTTGTGAGTCTTATTGTTTCTATTGCAACTATTCAACTTGTCTTTGTAGCAAAAAAAGTAGCCAAAGACATTATGTAAATGAATGACCATGGCTTTGTGTGTTTCCACAAAACTTTATTTTAAAAATTGGGTAGCAGGCTAGATTTGGCTCTCAGATTCATAGTTTGCCAATAGTCTTAATAGACTATGTAAACAAAAAATGGCCTGCAGCCCAACTGTCTAAATGAAATCAACTGTAAACTTAAGGAGGAATTTTCACATTCTTTGTTTCTCATTCTATTACCTATTCTTTGGGTTCCATCAGAGTTAGTATATTTGTAGCTTATTAGTCACAAGCATATGTGTTTATTTATAGCCTATGTACATAGGAGGTAACAAGAGAAAATGCTACTGGTTTGTAAATGACACTGATAATTATAACTATTTTTGAGGCAAAATAGGCATGTCAAATAAAATTTCTAATGAAATTTGAAATCTATTTTTAAGCTCAAGGTAGTCACATTTCTGTTTCAAAATGGGATTTCATCAAAAAAACATGCACTTTTGCAATCAGAGCACCTGGGTTCTCTCTTAGCTATAAAATGTACCAGTTCACAATCTTTCTACAAGTCAATATACTTACCCATTAAAGTTAAATAATACTTCACATCAAGTTTGTGAATTAAATGAGATTTTTTAAAAAAGTCAGTTATAATGCATATGATTAGAATTATATCATATATATTTTGTTGTTTTAAAAAATATTTATTTATGCTTCATTGCTAATTCCAATGCTTGATTCTCAGTTTTCACATTAATTGATCTATTAGCAGATTTGACACATTTGATCATTGCCTCATCCTTAAAACATTTCTAAACTTGGATTCCAGGATCCTACACTCTCCTGGCCTTCCTTCTACCTCAATAACCTATCCTTCTTTCTTCTTTGCTAGTACTTTCTCTTCTCACCAATCTCTGAATGTTGTAGTTTTCCAGAGCTCAGTTCTTTGTCCTCTTTGTTTTGTTGTAGTTGTTGTTGTTTTAAATCTTCACTCACTCTCTAAATCACCCCATCAAGTTTTAGGGCTTTCAATACCATCTATATGTTGATGATTCTCAAACTTATATTTCCGCTCAGCTCTATCTCATGAAATCTGGACTCATTTGTATTTAACTGCCTACTCAACACCTTCACTTAGATATCAAATAGTTATTTCAAACTTAGTGTCAAACTTTGTACTCCCAGTGTCAGCCTCTCTTTTGCAACAAGCCTACTCTGCCCATAGTTTTCCCCATTTCAATTGATGGCAACTCCATTTATCCAACTGCCAGGCCAAAAAGTTCTGAGGCATCCTTGAATCCTTCTCCCTGCCCCCATCATATGCCATATAAAATCATACAGGAAATTTTGTTGGTTTTATCTTAAAAATACATTAACAATATATTCAATATCCCCATTACTATCCCTGGTCTGAATTACCATGGCCTCTCAGCTGGATTATTGCAATAACCTGCTACCCAATTCCTTCCTTCTGCCTTGTTTCTCAATACAGCAGTCCAAATTATCCTTTTAAATAAAAGTCAAATTGATCATGTCACTCTTCTACTCAAAACTTTCTAGAGTGTCTCATTTCATTGAGAGTTAAAACTTTACAGTGGCCTACTTTGGCCCTAGATGGTCTAGTCCCTCTACAAATTATCTCCCTGACATCACCTTCTGTCATTCTCCCCTTCACTCATTTTGCTTTAGTCACACTATAGACATATACCTGCCTTGAAGTCTTTGTGGTGGATATTTGCCCCTCAGCAATGGTTGTTCCCCAAATAGCCACATGACTGACTCCCTCATTTCCTGTAAGTCTTTGTTCAGGTATTCACACTTCATTGAGGTCTACTCTGATCATCCTATTTAAAACTGCAACTCTCTCCTGATCTTCATTATCCTGTTGCATGTTTTCATAAAACCAAATACCTCCTAACTCATTGTAATTTACTCATATATTAAGGTTGTTTATTGTCTCTTTTCTCCTAGGAAGACAAGGACTTTTATTTGTATTTATTCATTGATATATTCCCAAGAGCCTAGCAGAGTCTTGGGAATATATCAGAGTCACATAAATATTTATCAAATGACTGAGTAAATATGTAATATAACATCTGCATATACATATGTGTACCTCCACATTTATATGTATAAAATTTATATATAAGCATATTTTCAATGACAATAATAATAATGATATCTGATTTGGACTATCTAATGGGGCACACTAAATATTTAGCATTTCAGATTTTATTCAACGGATATGAGAGAAATTCAGTATTTGTTGATATTCTTTATTACAACAAGGTTCTCAATAACATATAGATATTTAGCACTGGCTTAATAAATACATAAAGTGAGGTTAAAATTATGGTGGCCAAAGAGAAGGCTGTGTGGAGCTCTGAACTTAGATGAGGACATTAAAGACACATTATTCTCAATGGCACAGTTGAGATTCCAATATGCTTCAGTAGGCTGGCATGATAGTTTAACACCTTTAACTGTGGATATTAAAACTCATAAGAATACTTGATGCCTAGTATGTATCATTGTTCACGTATATTATTTTATTTGATTATTACAATAACCCCTGGATATTGTGGCATCATCATTCCTTATTTACAGATGAGAAAAAAAGAGTTGCTAAGGGACATGATCAGGATCATACAAGTAATTAGTGGTGAATATCAGGTGTTAAGCTCAGGTCTTCTGACTAAATCTCTAGACCTTTCCCTGTAGCTTTGGTCAGATATTTCCTAGTAAAAGATCAGTTGCCCTATCTGGAAAGAGGATCACAAGACTGAAGAAAAGTTTTCTATACTAAAAGTCCTAAGGACTTTGATTTGTTGTAAGTTCCTGTTAAGCTTAAGGTGAAAGAAGTCACATAAAGTTTAAAATGGATTTAGGCTGAAATACCAGAGGGGAGATAGACTCACTTAGCCTTGGAACAGTCAGAATGTTTCTAGAGTGACCTATTCACTCTTGCCAATGTGCAAATAATAATAATATTGCTAATATATATTGAGTGCTTACTACATGACAGATATTGCATTTATTAACTATTTAATCTCTAAGTATCACTGATAAACTAGAGGTAGTTCCAGGAAGAGGAATGAAGGTGGTGGAGACGAAGCAGGTGGAGGTGGTGGGGTTAAAGAAGGGAGTTGAGGTCTGGAAACCATAAAGACGGGAGATAGGACAACTTAAGGAGGAAATGATATTTATTTTCACATCCAAGCAACATTGTCATGTGGAAAAAAGATGAGGTTTTTGTTGTTGTTATTATTGTATCTGTGCGTGTGTGTGTGTGTGTGTGTGTGTGTGTGTGTGTAATCTTAGGTGTTTAGAGAAAAATTTAGAATCAAAGTGACTGAGTTTCACACTTGGGCTCAATAAAGGTGAGTGACTTAAATATTCAAAGTTTTCGAAAATGATATGTATTTCCTTGTGGGGTATTCTGGGCCCATACACAGGAAGCCTTTAATCATTTCCTGAGTGATCTCATCTATAAGAAATATTGGGAGGAGGAATCTGCCCCAGCATGAAATGACCAGAAGAATGTGCTTCAAAGTCTAAGATTCTATGGCCATTAAATTAGTCTGAGGCTGATACTTCCGGACTCTTGGACAGGTACCAGCAGTCTGAGTCATACAACTGCTGATGGTACTTAGAATTTTGCTGCCTCTAGTTGGGCCTCCACATCCTGTAAAGAGGCAAAGATATTTCTTTGGCAGTTCTCACAAAGCCAGGCTTTCCTAGGCACCCTTTCCCTCCTGTCTTCCTCTAGCCTGTTTGCTACAGAAATGCCCCAATTCCAGTTAATCTTGCTTTTATCTTAGCCTCTATAAAAAAAGTCAATTTTAGGGGCACCTGGGTGGCTCAGTTGTTAAGCGTCTGCCTTCAGATCAGGTCATGATCCCAGGGTCCTGGGATCGAGCCCCGCATCAGGCTCCCTGCTTGGTGGGAAGCCTGCTTCTCCCTCTCCCTCTCCCCCTGCTTGTGTTCCCTCTCTCGCTGTGTCTCTCTCTGTCAAATAAATAAAATCTTTAAAAGAAAGGGTCAGTTTTATTGTTATTAAATCATAAGAGACAAATATGTCACTGTTGAACTTAATTGTCTTTGGAGGTACAACCACCCAAGCCAGCAGAACAGGGGTTAACAACTTGACACATTATTTTTGAGAATTTGCCAATCCCTTCTTTTAAAATTTCCTTTACTAAGAGCCACGGAGCGTGTTGGAGCATTTGAAAAACTTCTTTAGTTATAGAGCCCAGATTCTGTGGGACCGCAGTGTCAGCCCTGGCTGCCCTCTCTTCCCAATCAGTGGTGTTTAGAAAGAAAAGAGTCAGGATTATGAGGGAAGGAAAAATGCAGTAAGAAAAGAGGAGCAAAATGGATCTGAAATGCAAAAAGATGGTTTGAACTACAAACTGAGGAAGAATGACATAAAGAGAAGGAAAAGAATACCTTCTCCCGCAGAACAAAAAAGCCCCGTATCATGGGTTAGTTAAAAAGAAAAATCTCCACCCACATTACAAGACAGATGAACCTCAAGATACCAATATTGGACTTTGGCAGAAGACAGAAGTCCAAAGGTGATAAATTGCAGGGACTGGCATTTTGAACTTGGCATCTTTCCTGAGACTCTTTCAGCTATCGTTTAGGCAGTTGTGTGCTGGGTGTGGAGACTGCATGAAGATAGATATTCTGATTCCAATGCATTTCATGCTTTTAATGGGAAACTGAATCCATTTTCTTCAGACGGGTACCCTTAGATTGTATAAAGGTAAGAAACACCTCTCAGCATGAATAAACTCCTCTCAGCAAGAACAAAATAGAAATACACCTGAAAGTTAATTTGGCTTTATCTTTTGAAATGGCAGGTTTCTGGAAAAGAAAACAGGGTAGCTTTTTCTTCATTAAAACAGAAATTGCTTTTTTAACACTGTGCAAGACCAAATTCTGCTGAAAAGAAAAAGCTAATGCAGGATGTAAAAGGGTTGGTCCTTTTGTTGGGAAGGAGACACCAGGCATAGATATCAGCCTAGGAAGGCAGGACACGCATTTCTTAACAGGATTATTGTTCCCTTAAAAAAAAAAAAAGATTTATTTATTTATTTTGAGAGAGAGAGAGAGAGCAGGAGGAGGGGCAGAGGGAGAGACTCTAAAGCAGCTCCCTACTGAGCGTGGAGCCTCACACGGGGCTCAATCTCACAACCCCAAGATCATGACCTGAGATGAAATCAAAGAGTTGGTCTCTCAACTGCCTGAGCCACCCCGGTGCCCCTCTTGTTCCTTTTCCATACAACTCTTCTCAGTGGGAGTATCAGCACAAAACAAGGAACCTAATTATGACAAACATTTGCAAGAGGACTTACCTTCTTAGAAGTCATGATCCCAAACAACGGAAACATTAAACCAGGCAGTAAAGCTGTGACTGACAGAGGCAAAGCTTCTGTAAGCCAAAACGTGGCAATGACAAAGAGTGTGTAGGCACATTCTGCTTCCTGGAAAGAACAAAGGAAAAATGCAAGGTGAAATAATGAGGCTGGAAAATCATCATTTAAATCACAACCACATGTGCTGAATGGAGTTGTGTCACCGAGAAAGTAAAAAGAAACTTGAAGGCCTCTGCACCTTTGAGTTGGGCAGTAAATAGTTATTTCTTAGGGATTCTAAGGGCCAAAATTTAGTACACATGAAAAACCAAAAACAAAACAAAAAATCCTCCTTCATAAAGTTTCTTTCACATTTCCTTCAAAACAGATAACGGTGTATAGTCAATTTTCTGTGCTCCTTTCAGTGTGTATGAATGCTTGTGTTCACCTTTATTTGCCTATAAAATGCCTCAAAAGAACTTCCATTTCTTCTGGAGTGCATAAGTAGTCAAGTTACTGCCTTTCCCCTGGGGCACGACATATGTGACTTTCAATTGCATTCCCTGGTGCCTATTGGTTGGCACCAGTGTATACCTGCCTTCCCCTCCTATAAAAGGGAGAAATCAACCTAGAAAAAAACTTTTTGCTGTGCTTTGTTTCAGGGAAAGAAGGACATGCCAAGTTATGTGACATGGATGAGACTAAATCAGCTCCTAAGTAACATGGACCTGGAGGTTAAGAACCTCCTTCTTTGCTTTTTAGAAAGACAACTGAGCTCCTGAGGAAACACAGGGAGACTCAACAGAAATGAAATTCCTAAGAGAATCTGTTGCTTTGCTAGGTATAAAATTGTGTGTTTCTGTTTTAGGGCATTGTTAAGAAATGGTTGAGATTTGGGGTTCAAGATGGCAGAACTGAACTCACTTCCCCCCACAGATGTGACATATCTACAGCTACACATGAGATAGTTTTTTTCTCAAGAACTAGCTGAACAGTTTCCTTCATAACAAGGGATAAAAGAGCCACATCCAGACAGGTACGAGAGACAAAGATGTGGTTTCACCAAAAACCCCATGTGTGGTATGGTGACCCACAACTGGGAGGTATCTCAAAATATGGAGTTTCTCCCTGAGGAGTGAGGAGTTTGTGCCCCACACTGGACACCTCAACTCTTGGGATCTGCACCAGTGAGAAGAGTTCCTGAAATGTCTGACTTTGAAAACCAGTGAGGCTTAGGTTCAGGAGAACCATGAAGCTGTAGGGAGTGGAGATTTTACTCTTTAAGGGCTCATGTACAAACTCATCCACCCTGGGACTCAGCACAAAATCAGCAGTTTGAAAATTGCCTAGACCATACATGAAGGAGAGTCATTTGCTAATCTAAAGCATCTCGAGAGGGGCAGAGCCTATTAGGACTCTGTCCAGGGATAGAGGTACTAGTTGGTGCCATTTTTGCATTCTTCCTTTACCTTGCTAACACTAGTGGGTGTGCCCCACTCTTATACTGCCCCTGCATCCCTGCCAGAGCTGGGGAGCTGAATGCCCTGCACTCACAGACCTGCCAAAGCCAGCAGGCAAGTAGAGCCAACACAGGAGATGCCCCTTGAGTGCCTCACTCTGCTGACCATGGAGCATCTCTAGGCCCTACAAATCTGAAACAATTGGAGACATAGTTGTTGGCAGGCTACCACCTCAAGAAACAAGAAAAATCTCAAATAAACTAACCTTGCACCCAAAGGAACCAGGAAAAGAACAATAAAGTCCAAAGTTAGTAGAAGGAGGAAAATAAAGATCAGAGTGGAAATAAATGAAATAGAGACTAAAAAGACAACAGAAAAGATCAATAAAACCAAGATCTGGTTCTTTGAAAGATAAAATTGAAAAACCTTTAGCTAGACTTCTCTCTAAGAAAAAAAGAGAGAGGGCTTAAATAAATAAAATCAGAATGAAATCAGATAAGTTACACCTGACACCAAAGAAATACAAATAATCATAAAAGACTACTATGAAAAATTATATACCAACAAATTGGATAAACTAGAAGAAATGGATAAATCCCTAGAAAAATACAATCTTCCAAGACAGAATTATACCAAAACATTCAAAGATTTAACACTTCTCATTCTCAAACTTGTCCAAAAATTGAAGAGATAGGAATGCTCACAAATTCATTTTATGAGGCCAGCATCAACCTGATACCAAACCCAGAAAAGGACACACAAGAAAAAAAAAATTACAGGCCAATATCCCTAATGAACATAGATGCAAAATCCTCAACAAAATGTTAGCTAACTGAATTCAACAGTACGTTAAAAGGTTCATTCATCACGATCAAGCAAGATTTATTCCACAGATGCAGGAATGGTTCAACATCCACAAATCTATCAAGGTGATACACCACATTAATGAAGGATAAAATTCATATGATCATCTCAGTAGATGCAGAAAAAGCATCTGACAAAACTCAACATCCATTTATGATAAAAACTCTCAACAAGGTGAGTATAGATGGAATGTACCTCAATATAATAAAAGCCATATATAACAAGCCCATAGCTATCATCATACTCAATGGTAAAAAGCTGAAAACCTTTCCTTTAAGATCAGGAACAAGACAAATGTACCCATTCTCACAACTCAACTTAATGTTGTTAAAATGTCCATATTACCCAAAGCAATCAACAGATTCAATGAAATTCCTATCAAAATTTCAATGACATTTTTCACGGAATTTGAACAAACAGTGCTAAAATTTGTATGGAACACAAAAAGCTTGAATAACCAAACAATCTTGAGAAAGAAAACAAAGCTAGAGGCATCATACTCCCTGATTTCAAACCATATTACAAATCTATAATAATCAAAACAGTATGGTATTGGCATTAAAAACAGATTCCAAAGTGTACTAATTTTTTTTTACTGTGCTTCAAATAAATAGAAAAAATAGTTACTAAAAAAAACAGATTAATAGATCAATGGGACAGAATAGAGAACTCACAAATAAACCCACATATATATGGTCAATTAATTTATGACAAAGGAACCAAGAGTATACAATGGAGAAAGGACAAGCCCTTCAATAAATAGTATTTAGAAAACTGGATGGCCACATGCAAAAGAATGAAACTAGACCACTGCCTTATACCAGATACAAAAAGTAACTCAAAATGGATTAAAGACTTAAATGTAAGACCGAAATTTATAAAATAACTAGGAGAAAACATAGGCAGTAAGCTCCTTGACACTGGTCTTGGTGATACTTTTTTTGGATCTGACTCAAAAGGCAAAAGCAACAAAAGCAAAAATAAACAAATGTGACTGCATCAAACTGTAGAGCTTATGCATAGAGAAGGAAATCAAATAAAAGTCAACCTAATGAATTAGAGAAAATATCTGCAAATTATATGTCTGGTAAGGAGTTAATATCCAAAATATAAAAATAATCCATAAAACTCAGTAACAAAACAATAATTAAAAAATAGAGGATCTGAATAGACATTTCTAAAGAAGACATATAGATGGTCAACAGGCACATGAAAGATGCTCAGTATCACTAATCATCAGGGGAATACAAATCAAAACCACATTGAGATCAACCCACACCTGTTAGAATGGCTATGAAAAGGAAAGAAATAAGAAGTGCTGGCAAGGATGTGGAGAAAAGGGAAACCCTCATGAACTGTTGGTGGGAATGTAAATTGTGCAGGCACAAAGGAAAACAGTGTGGAGGTCCTTCAAAAAATTAAAAATAGAATTACTGTATGATTCAGTAATTCCATTACCGGGTACTTATCTGAAGAATATGAAAACACTAATTTGAAAAGATACACACAGCCCTATGTTCATCGCAGCATTACTTACAAAAGCCAAGGTATGGAAACAATCTAAGTGTCCATTGATGGATGAATGGATAAAGAAGATGTGGTGTATATATGTAATATATATATATAGAGAGAGAGAGAGAGAGAGAGAGAGAGGGAGATGTCACACACACACATTAGTTGGAATCTCTCAGCCATAAAAAAATAATAAAATGTTGCCATTTGTGGCAACATGAATGGCCCTCAAGGGTATTAAGCTAAGTGAAATAAGTTACACAGGGAAAGACAAATACCACATGATTTTACTTATATGTGGAATCTAATAGACACATGAGCAAACAAAATCAGACCAAGCCAAACTCATAGATAAAGAGAACAGATCGGTGGTTGCTGGAGGGGAAGGAGTTGAGGAAGGAGGACAAAATGGGTTGAAGAGAATCAAAAGCTACAAAATTCCAGTTATAGAATAAAGAAGTCATGGGGATGTATTGTACAGCAAGATGCTAAGAAAGAAAATCTTAAAAGTTCCTATCATAAAAAGAAAAGGTAACTTTGGTTGCAGATGGTAACTAGACTTACTGTGGTGATCATTTCACAATGTATACAAATGTGGAATCATGTTTAATTATACCTGAAATTAAGAGAATGTTGGATATCCATTATACTTCAATAAAAAATGGTTGAAATGTATTATTATATTTGGCTTACATAAAAAATTTTGAAATGGAATCACCTGGAGTGTATTAAGTGATCGACAAAAGTTAGCATCTATTACATGGCTTTGTTTTGCTCTCACAGGGCTTAATCTCTGCAAATTCTGAGTTGCATGTGAAAAATTTATCAAAACTGCTGTCTGAGTTTAATGAGGTATTTTATTTATGGTTTTCCCAGGGCAATAACATTTCTAGCTCTGCTGCCCCCTGATTCTCCCACGTCAGGGTGAATCCTCGGAGCTCGGTGTTTGGTCACCTAGCGTCCCTGCACTTTCAGTGGGAGGGTCTAAGAAATCCTTAATAAACTAGGATTACCTTGTGCCTTCACCATGTTATCTTTTCAAAGGAGAAAGAATAAAGGTGTTTGGATGTTAACAGTTTTATAGAAAGTCTGCCTCTATAACCTTGACAATAAAACAATGAAACAAAGCTGGGCCTTTACTAAAATTTCCTAATTTGCTCTGGAGAGAATCTGTGAATACTAAATTAATTAATTTTTTAAAAAAAGATTTTATTTATTTTAGAGACAGAGAGAGTGTGAGCAGGGGGAGGGGCAGGGGAGAAGGAGACAATCTCAAACAGACTCTGCACTGAG